TTGGGATGTTCATCGGGTTGGTAAACCGATCGAATTCGAACCGAACCGTTAATTCGGTGTGGTATTCGATTTTATTATATATATATATATATATATATATATATATATTATATATATATATATATATATATATATTATATATATATATATTACTTTAATTTGCATTATTAATTTTTAAGCTAACTTGAAAGAAGAACGAGTACATTGGAGAAAAAATATTCTCAAACTTAGATTATAAAAGAATTATATACATTTATATATAAGTTATATATATGACCTAAAATTTGTTTCCTTTTTGGTATTTTTAAGATGCAGGCTGCAATTTGAAATGAGATATATAAATTGAGGTAACCTTTGCCAATTTTAAAAATTTACGGTGCAATTTGCCAACCCCTGTTATTTTTTAGGGTGCAAAACGCAATTTACACTTAATACGATGGTCAAATTCACATTTCAACCAATTCACAGAGTACCCTAGTGTTATTCTAAAACTTCTTTATCTGATAAATAAGTCAGAGAATTTTGTTGCATTTGGTGTCCTTGTATGATATTGAATAGTTAAAAACTCCCTACCATCATTATTAGGGTAAATAGTACGTAATCTATTTAGTTTGAGTTTTGTGCACATGATTCTTTGTACTTTCAATATTAGCACATGACCCCCTATAGTTTTAATTTTGTGCACATGACTCTCTTGTACTTCTAATATAAACTTTATTTACCCTTATTAATATTAGCATGCATAAATTCTCATATGATGTGTTGTGTTAGCACACAACCCCTAAATGATGAGCTTTTCGGTAATAATTTGCTAAAAAATATTTAATTATAGGAGGATTTTTGTTAATAAAAATAACACAAGGAGTATTTTAACAGTTATAAAAATACAGGGTGTTGAATGCAATATGAATTTTCTCAATACAAAGCTATTTATTTAAATGGCAAATTACGGCCATCTCTGAGTTATATGATCAAATTACGAAAATCCCCCTCATGTTTGGGTAATTACAGTCACCCCCTCAACTATGTATTATCTTACGAAAAGACCCTCGAGAGGGTAATTTAATGATGTTAATTCGGTAAAACCGAATCGAAATTTCGGTGCGCCAACATTTCATATCGTTTACTGAACTAAATATACGATTTGGTACGGTAAATAACCGAATTACATAAATTTTATGTAAATGTAAAAATATTTAAAATGACGAATAATTGTAATTACTCAAACAAAATGTTTTTTTTTCCCCTCTTGGTTATACCTCAGGGTGACCATAATAAGCCCTTATTTAGAACATCAAAGAACGCATTTTGATTAATAATAATCTTTTTTTTTTTCCATAAAAAAATGATAATAAAATCCAGTAAATTCATATTTTGACCAGTTCTCGTATTTTGAATTTATATTAGGGTAAATTCCACTTACCCCCTCGTACTCTGCCCAATAACCACTTTAACCCCTCGTACTCTCAATTTCATCGATTTATCCCCTTGTACTAGTACAATTTCCCAATACAGCCCTCTTCGTCAACTTTTTTCGATTTTGACTCTGACGCCATTTGGTCAAGAGTCAAAATATTGACGTAAATATTGATTTTTTTTCGATTTTGACTCTCGTGATTAGAAAAGAGAAAGTTTCACACATTAATATATTTTTTTTCTTTGCACTGGGTGAAATCGATCAATTTTTGGGTCTTGATTTTTACTAAGTTAGGGGTTCAATTTGGGGATATCTTGGAAGGGGAAGTGGTGGGAGAAGAAGAAATGACAATATTGACGGAGGAGAAACGACGCGTTATAGGCAGTGGCAATTTTGTAATTTACAGAGTTGACCAAACGGCGTCAGAGTCAAAATTGACAAAAGTTGAAGGAGATGGCTGTATTGGGAAATTGTACAAGTACAATGGGGTAAATCGATGAAATTGAGAGTACGAGGGGGTAAAGTGGTTCTCGGGT